GTCCACCCTGGACCTGGGCGAGCAGCGGGAGCGCTGGGAGACGTTCCAGAAGCGGCAGAAGCTCAGCTCCGAGGGCGCCGCCAAGCTCCTGCTAGACACCTTGTGAGTGCGGCCGGGCCCGGGGCGCAGGGGAGCCGGCGCCGCGCGGACGCCCCTCGGCGCCGAGCCGGGCTGGCCGCCCACCCGCTCGCGCGCGTCGGTGCCCGCGCGCAGGCCTGGGCACATCCCTGCTCTTCCACCGAGCCGAGCCGACTCGTTCCCCCCGTTAGCACCAGTGTGGTCCCTCATTCTAGGGGCGGCGCGCCTTGCGTTTCGCAGGGCTGTGCGGCCCGCAGGCAAAGGGGGCTCCTTGGGCGCTTGGTGAGGGCGCGCGCGGTCGTCCTGGGACACAAAGGGTCTCTCCTGGCCACGAGCCTCGTGCGCGGGGACGTTCGTTGTCTCTGGTTCTGGCGCGCGAAGGTCTGGGGGCCCTTTCCGGCGAACAGATCAGCCCCTCGTGCCCCAATGCCTGTATTGCACACGTGCGATTGGTGGGTGGAAGGGAAAGGTAGAGGGGCTGAGAAGCGTGAGCAGTTTTGAAGCAACTGGGGAAAGAAATCCGGTTATTGTCCTAGGGACTCCCCCGGAAGACCAGGATGTGGAGCGGGGGTTATTGATCCGGGAGAGAAGCGTGCACAAAGAGATGCATGGGCCTTCACAGCGGCGGGGATGCCTGAGGTGGGGAGGCTTTTTGTTCTCCACCAACTGATGCTCCCAGTGGCTCACTGTGCTGTCCGCTCCTCCGGCCCCTTTATTGGCCCGAGGAGCATTTCAGAGTGTCTGTTATTTAGAAAAGAGCTATTAGACACACACACACACACACGAAAAGAGCTATTAACTGGCGAGGGCTGCCTTCTTTTTTTCAAATGTGATCTGGATTCCTGCCCTGGACAGCAATTGTGCTACAGAGAAATATTTTAGCACTCTAATAATATATCCCAATGTTAATAATTTTATGAATTAAAAAGCACAATCAAAGCACCAGGGGGAAAAAAAAAGACTAAGACAAGAATAACCTAACAATTGCATAACAACCTAAGAGGTACTCCTTTTCTTGAACAAAAAAATGTTATTTTGTTCTTGTTGGGGAAGAAATTGCCTTAACTTAGGATGAGTAGTCTAAGAAATGGGATACGTATTTGGTTTTCTGTGTGTTTCACTTTTTGATTTATCATCTTGGACAATACGTTTTTGTTTTTTTAAATTCGTTCATCAAACATTTTTTGAGCGCCTATGGTGTGATAGCTACTGCTAGGCATAGGAAATATAAACAGCTTTAGGAGTGTAAAATTCAAATTTGAGGTAAATTTTTACTTTAAAACAAACTGATAAGTGGTCAAAAATCTTAAAATGTTAACATAAAAAAATGAATGTTTTTCACCCATCAGATTGGCATGAGTGTGTATTTACATTTATTTTTTTAAGTCCACTAAATTGACTTAGGCAAAAAGTATGTATAACACTGAACCATTTTCATTAAAGTATTATTATATAGAAAAGAAACTTAGAGGAATGTGTAGTAAATATTGACTGTGGCTCCCTCTGGGTGTAAAGATTATAGGAGACTTTCACTATGAACACTGTCAGACATTGTGATGTTTGGATCTTTTACAATAAGCATTATGTGTGCAGAAAAAAATTAAAGTACATCAACTTGTAATGAAACGTGATAAAACGATCAGCCTCAATCATGCAAATTAGAACATTAGCAAATTATTGCCTGAGAATGTACAGTGAAATGTTTTATTTGAAGTGCTCAGTCCTTTTGAAAAGTGACTTTATTATACTTATTAAATCTTTTTTTTTTTTTTGAGTTGAAGTCCTCACTCTGTCACCCAGACTGGAGTGCAGTGGCCCGCTCCCAGCCACCGCAGCAGCCTCCACCTGCTGGGCTCTGGCGATCCTTTCACTCAAGCTTCCAAGTAGCTGGAACTACAGGCGTGCGCTACCACACCCGGCTAATTTTTTGATTTATTGTAGAGATGAGGGCTCACCAAGTTGCCCAGGCAGGTCTCCAACCCGCCAGCTCAGGCAGTCCACTCACCTCGGCCTCCCATAGCACGGATTACATGCCGAGCCACTGAGCCCAGCTTACTTATTAAATCTTAATGTTCAGTTATGAGGCTTCTTTATGTGTAAGTTTTAAAAGAATTAAAACTGTATGTAGTGTATCACAACTGTATAAAGCGTTATGTGTGTGAAGAATACTGGAAGGGAACACATCGAAATTATCAGAGCCTTTGCTATTTTCTCAGAAGGTCTTTCTGGTCCTCCGGACTTAATCAGATACCTGTCTTTTCGTAGCAGCCTGTACCACCTTCAACACAATCATCCTTAAATATCACTTGGGTGATTTGTTTGATGGCTGCTTAAGGTTGGTAAGGACAGCCACTGTGTCTGCTGTGTCTTGTTTACGTGTCAAAAAAAGAAAAACAAGCCGGGCTTGGTGGCTCAGCCTGTAATCCCGCGCCTTTGGGAGGCTGAGGTGAGTGGATGGCCTGAGCCCGCGGGTTCGAGATCCGCCTGGGCAGCGGGTCCTCATCTCTACAATAAATAAAAAAAAAATCAGCCGGGCGTGGTAGTGCGCACCTGTAATTCCGGCTACTCGGAAGGCTGAGGCGGAAGGATCGTCGGAGCCCAGCGGGTCGAGGCTGCGGTGACGGGAGCGGCCACTGCACTCCAGTCTGGGTGACCGAGTGAGACTCCAACTCAAAAATAAAAAAAAAAATTTAAAAAAAGAGAGAGAGAGAAAGCGGGAGCCTGGCTACTCAGAAATTCTTATCTCTCTGATTTTTGTTTCATTTAGTGAATACCAGGGCCTGGTGAAGCACACAGGAGGCTGCCACTGTGGAGCAGTTCGTTTTGAAGTTTGGGCCTCAGCAGACTTGCATATCTTTGACTGCAAGTGGGTATTTTTCTCTTCCTTAACTGGCTTAAACAACTTGAGTTAAAATGCAATGCTTGAAAATAATCCAAGAGTTGGGATATAGATGAAACAACATTGGCCATGAGCGGATAATCGTTGAAGTCAGCTGATGAGTACATAAAGGTTCATTGTTCTGTTCCTTCTCTTTGTATGGCGCACCACAGAGGTCCTGCAGCACAGGCCTAGGCAACACAGAGCAGGGTCCTTGAGGTTTGTGGCTGGCAGAGTCACCCCACTGACTGAAAACTGCCGATGCATCAGCTGTGGTTGGCTGGAGGTGGGTTAGGCTTGGGCACTGAGTGAAGAGTCTTGGGTAGAACCCTTGCAGGAGTTTGGAGTTGAGGAGAGTTGGTGGGTACATGCTGGAGGGAATGTACACTTGGAAGCTCTCCATGCTCTGCCCTCTCGCTCTGTTCTTCAGATGAGGCGGATGGTACTGCCAGCCTTTGTGGAGAGCCTGCTCCATAGCACCTTCTCTGGCATTATGATAGCCAGGACAGCAGGCTCTGACTTCTGGACCAGTCATTGGCATGTAGCTAATTATTCAACAGTATCCAGTCCTTTTTGCTCCTAGGTAACTATTATATATGAATAATAAAAAAAGTACTGTGGAATTACTCATGGAAGAACTGACCAGGCTACTAACAGTAGAGTTCAGATTGGGATAGAGGATTCTGTACTAAATTAGAATTTTTAAAAACATGACCTGAAAAGAGGAGACTTTGATTTAAGAGATGGTAATTCTGGGAACCTGTTTTACTTGGAGCTAGACTTTTTTTTTTGAGTAGGAGTCTCCCTCTGTCACCCAGGCTGGAGTGCAGTGACACACTCAGGGCCACTGCAGCCTCGACTTGCTGTGCTCAGGTGATCTTTCTGCCTCAATGCACCAAGTAGCTGGAACCACAGGCATGCGCCACCATGCCTGGCTAATTTTTTTATTTATTGAAGAGATGAGGTCTTACCAAATTGTCCAGGCTGGTCTTGAACCCCTGGACTCAGGCAGTTCTCTCACCTCTGCCTCCCAAAGTGCTGGGATTATAGGCGTGAGCCACTGAGCCCGGCGACTTTTTTTTTTGAATAGTAGTCTCACTCTGTTGCCCAGACTGGAGTGCAGTGACACACTCACAGCCACGGCAGCCTCAACCTGCTGGGCTCAGGCAATCCTTCCACATCAGCCTTCTAAGTAACTGGAACCAGAGGCATGCACCACCACACCTGGCTAATTTTTTTATTTATTGAAGAGACGAGGTCTTGCCAAATTGCCCAGGTTGGTCTTGAACCCCTGGGCTCAGGCATTTCTTTCACCTTGGCCTCCCAAAGTGCTGGGATTACAGGCGTGAGCCATTGTGCTGGGCTGGAGCTAGACTTTTTTTTTGAGTCAGAGAGTCTCATGCTTGTTGCCCAGGCTGGAGTGTAGTGGCACACTCATGGCTACCCCAGTGTTGACCTGCTGGGCTCTGGTGATCCTTTCAGCCTTCCAAGTAGCCAGAACTACAGGCGTGTACTACCATGGCGGCTGATTTTTTATTTATTGTAGAGACGAGGTCTCGCCATGTTGCCCAGACTGGTCTTGAACCCATGGGCTCAGGAATCCACTCGCCTTGGCCTCCCAAAGTGCTGGGATTATAGGCTGAGCCACCAAGCCTGTTTTACTTGGAGTTAGACTTTCTAAAAGTGATGTGGAGGTGAAGAAAGAGGAAATCCTAAGCTTCCTTGTCTGTTTTTGGTGTGGATGTCTCAGAGGCAGGAAATTATATCAATACCTGAAATTTGTTTTCTTTTCTTTTTTTTTTTTCCTTGAGTTGGAGTCTCACTCTGTCGCTTAGGCTGGAGTGCAGTGACACACTCACAGCCTCAACCTGCTGGGCTCAGGCGATCCTTCTGCCTCAGCCTTCCAAGTAGCTGGAACTATAGGCATGTACCATCACGCCTGGCTAGTTTTTTGATATATTGTAGAGGTAAGGTCTCACCAGGTTGGTCTCGAACCCCTGAGCTCAGGCAATCCTCTTGCCTTGGCCTCCCAAAGTGCTGAGATCACAGGCTTGAGTCACTGTACCTAGCCTTGAAAATTTGTTTTCTAAGTATTTCTAAAGTCCAGCGCTTCTTCTCTTCACTGTAAATGACTGAGGTGGGCAGTGCAAATGTAGTTCTGTTGGTCCTGGTTTCTGAGTGGTGCATGGCCTTGACTGCTGGCTTTGGAACCTGTGGGCTCTGCTGCTTGTGCAGAACAGAGGAAGCTGGTGGCCAGGCCATCTGCCTGCGTCCCCCCTTCTCTGGATGGGGCTGAGAGGGGCTTTATCTCTGGGCTTGGCTGGCTCTCAGAATGTATCGGGCTGGGCCACTCAGACACACAGAGAATGCAGATGGCTCTTCACAGTCTGGAATTTGCTTTTTCTGTAGCTGCAGCATTTGCAAGAAGAAGCAGAATAGACACTTCATTGTTCCAGCCTCTCGCTTCAAGCTCCTGAAGGTTAGTACTTAAGAGCACGGTTACTGGGTACAGTGACTCACGCCTATAATCCCAGCACTTTGGGAGGTGGAGGCGAGAGTACTGCCTGAGCCCAGGGGTTCGAGACCAGCCTGGGCAACTTGGCAAGACCTCATCTCTACAATAAATAAAATTTAAAAATTAGGTGGGTGTGGTGGTGTGCGCTTTTTTTTTTTTTTTTTTTGGTTTTTTTTTTGAGTTGGAGCCTCACTTGGTCACCCAGACTGAAGTGCAGTGGCCGCTCCTGGCCACCGCAGCCTCGCCTGCTGGGCTCCGGTGATCCTTCTGCCTCAGCCTTCTGAGTAGCTGGAATTATGGGCATGCGCTACCATGCCCGGCTGATTTTTTGATTTATTGTAGAGATGAGGTCTCGCTGTCCAGGCGGACCTCGAACCCACGGGCTCAGGCAATTCACTCACCTCAGCCTCCCAAAGGCGCGGGATTACAGGCTGAGCCACCGAGCCCGGCTTTTTTTTTTTTTTTTTTTGGGTTGGAGTCTCACTCTGTCACCCAGACTGGAGTGCAGTAGCCGCCCCTGGCCACCGCAGCCTAGACCTGCCGGGCTCTGGCAATCCTTCCGCCTCAGCCTTCCAATTAGCTGGAAGTACAGGCGCGCGCTACCATGCATGCCCGGCTAATTTTTGATTTATTGTGGAGATGAGGTCTCGCCAAGTTGCCCAGGTGGGTCTCGAACCCACGGGCTTGGGCAATTCACTCACCTCAGCCTCCCAAAGCATGGGATTATAGGCTGAGCCACCAAGCCCGGTTTACACTATTTTCTATACAGATACATCTGAACCTATTTTCATTTTTTTTTTTTAAGTCGAGGTCATACTCTGTTGTCCAGGCTGGAGGACAGTGGCACCATCATGGCTCACAGCACCCTTGGCCTCCTGGGCCACCATGCCTGGCTAATTTTTCTGATTTTTTTGTAGAGATGAGGTCTCACTATGTTGCCTCCTGGACTCAAGCAGTTCTCCAACCTCAGCCTGCCAGAGTGCTGGGATTATAGGTGTGAGCCACCTTGCCCAGCCTATTGTCGTATATTTTTATCAAGTAGGATTTTACCACTTTCTGTTGATAACCTACTTTTACATTTCCCAATGAAAGCTTATATAATTTTTTTTATTTTGGGGAATTTTTTGTACTTGAAAGGTAGAAGAAAATACATAAGTACACAGTGAAAAGTCTCTCCCACTGTTCCCGGGCTCCCTGTGTCCCCCTTCCCCACAACAATATCCTAGTTTATATATCTCATAATTGTCTCTATATCATTGGACCTCTAGAATGAGTCCAGTTTTTTGTTTGTTTGTTTGTTTTACTATTACAAACATTGTGATGAACCTCCCTGTGTGTAAATCATTGACAGTTTAGGCTGGGCATGGTGGCTCATGTCTATAATCCCAGCACTTTGGGAAGCTGAGATGGGAGGATTGCTTGAGCCCAGGAGTTTGAGACCACCCTAGGGAACATAGTGAGACCATGTCTCTACAAAAAAATAAAAAAAAATTAGCCAGGCATGATGGCACATGCCTTTTGTTTGTTCCAGCCACTCAGAAGGCTCAAATTGAAGGATTACCTGAGCCCAGGAGGTCAAGGCTCCAGTGAGCCATGATCATGCCACTGCAATCCAGCCTGGGGAACAGAGTGAAACCCTGACTCAAAAAAAGAAAGAAAAATCTTTGACAATTTAGAAGTTTTTTCTTTTCTTTTTTTTTTTTTTTTTTTGAGTTGGAGTCTCACTCTGTCACCCAGACTGGAGTTCTGTGGCACACTCACGTCCACCCCAGCATTGGCCTGCTGGACTCTGGCGATCCTTCTGCCTCTGCCTGCCAAGTAGCCGGAACTACAGGCATGCACTACCACACCCAGCTAATTTTTGATTTATTGTAGACATGAGGTCTTGCCAAGTTGCCTAGGCGGGTCTCGAACCCTCAGGCTCAGGCTATCCACTTACCTTGGCCTCCCAAAGTGCTGGGATTACAGACTGAGCCACTGAACCTGGCCTGCTTTATACCTTTTTTCACTTAACTTTGTAAACTTAGAGATGTGTATTTGTAGAACTGCCTCCTCATTCTTTTCAAAAGTTGCAGAGTATTCTGTTTTATGAGCTTCCATATGCTTTAACTAGTCCTCTATTAATGGACATTTTCAATTTTTCCCATCTTTAGCTTTTATAAACAGTGCTATAATACTTATATACCTATGTCATTTGAGATGTTTGGTTTTTTTTTTTTTTTTTTGGAGGCAAGGTCTCACTGTGTTACCAAGACTGGAGAGCAGTGGCGCGATCATGGCTCATCACAGCCTCAACCTTCTGGGCGTATGCCACCATGTCCAGCTAATATTTTGTTTTTTTTGTTGAGACAGGGTCTCATTATATTGCCCAGGCTGGTCTCAAGCTCTTGGACACAAATGATCCTCTTGCCTAAGCTTCCCAAAGTATTGGGTTTACAATTGTGAGTCACCACACTGGCTTCATTTGAAATATTTGGAGTACGTAGGACAAATTTCTAGAAGTGGAATTTTTGCTAAAGAATATGTATACAGCCAGGCTCGGTGGCTCAGCCTGTAATCCCGTGCTTTGGGAGGCTGAGGTGAGTGG